GACATGCACACTCTTGCACTTTCAAGTTACTATCTAGATATATACTATTCTCCACATAAAAACGAAGACTGCGTACTCTTTCAATAAATCATCACATTAATATGTTTATTAGTTAAGTTAAATAGTTTGAAATGGTCCCTCTGAGCACTATAACTGCTATAGCTCATTATAGCAGTGGTTATGGTGCAGAGTCCATGTGACTTGTGTTAAAAATATTTTGATTGTTTGACAAAAGCAGGGACTCTGGTGGCTTACCTACATTTTGGCCTCTCCGCAGCATCTGGGCTGAAGCAGAAGCGAGCTCAGACATTAGCCATCTTAATCACTGTGATACTGAGTTGCAATAGTTATAGTGCTAAAGTAACCCTTTAATCAGCCAGTCTAACATTGGCAGCAATGTTAATGCAGCGTAATACAGTTTAATTAATTGGTAAAACTAGAACTTTTTTCATGCAAATAAATGTTATTACATTTTTATAATAAAAATAATAAACATATACATGTATATATATATATAATAAATATTAAAATGAATCTGTCAATACGCACCACTTTGGCTTTCTCTTCCACGATAATTAGTTTTGCTATAATGCCAAATGCAATGGACTTCCCATACACTGTGAAATGTAAATGTAAAAAAACTGTAAAATGCGTTGCCAGGTTAATGTCATATACATTATTTTAATTCTTGCCAAAACCACTGTTACAGAGACTAAACTCCTATGTATATGGTGTGCCAGCTAAACAGTAAGTAAATTGCATAGATTAGATTTTAATTATACCTTCTTCCAACAAATTAACTTGTGCAAAGTGCAAATATATACAGCAAGAATAATCAAATAAAGTGTGGTAGCTAAGCTACAGACCCCCTGAGTGGGAACCCCTTACACCACTCAACAAATAAAAGGCAAATACATACAATATAGAGGGTGGATCACACTTGAATAATGTCTGTAAGAGATATAAATAAAACACGTAATAGTGTAGTAATTTCTGGATAATGGAATGTAAAGAAAGTGAGGTCTGGTACTCACAAGCCTGGAGCCAAATCTCATATGGCTCCCATGGATATCGCCTTGGGACTATTCAAGAGGATGTCCCCTTCCTTCTTCCACATAGGCTGTTAGCTGATCCAATTAAAATGAGATCCAGGGTCCAATGCATGTCTTGAAAAATACTATTTATTGTATAAAAGCAGTAATAAAATTTCATTAAAAGAAAAAAAAAATATAATAAAATAAATAGCTATATTGCTGAGCAAATAAGTCCTGCCAATTGGCTGTAATAGTCCAAAAATGACCGAAACGCGTTTCGCCCCTCCGGGGGCTTTCTCAATCGGTATAATTCCTTCCAGTTTGGCGTGCTTTTATCTCCCTGTCCGTGTATAACTTCCGGGTTCCGGCCGATGTCTATTTGGAACGCAACGTGCGTTCCAAATGTGGCCGTTTTTCCATTTCCGGGTGCGCCGTTTCACTTCCGGGTTCCGGCGGCGATGCATCTGGAACGCATCATGCGTTCCAGACCTCTTCTTCATTCTGTTCTGTGTCTCTGAACCTAAACATGTATTAGTGGAATTCACAGTGTATTCACTGTGAATTCCAGAATGCAATATTTAAACTGTGAATCATCTTACTATGTACATTCTTAAGAAATATTGGATACTAATCTTAAATATAATATTCCATGGAAGATAATATAAGTAAAGAATATATAGTATCTAATTAATGTAATTCAATGTTAATATCGTGCAGCACTAGTGACCATGCTGTGATAATCATGCTCTCACGTGAGGTGGTGATTTCTGTGATTTAAAAATAATTCATTTTCCAATTAGTGTTTAAATGATCTTTCCCTTCTATATTGAGAGGTCTTTAAACTGAAAAACTCTTTTTAATATATATATTCGTATCATTAATTTCCATCTTGTCAATTTTAAAATCACCATACTGACGTGTTTAAAGTGACAGTTTTCCAAAACTTATAAGTTGTGCAGCAGAAAATCTCTATGTGATCACTTCAAATTAGAAATACAAATAAAAACTAAAAACTAGCAAGCATGCCCTTAAAAAGGAAGATATTCTATGTTGACAATCTTTAAAAGAAATGACACATCTCAAAGTCTGCGTTTAACCCATGTGGTATAAGGGTATTAAAATTATATATAAATCTCATTTCTTCTATTCCGATTTTTTTATTAAAATCTCCTCCCCTCCAGTCTTTTTTTACCAATTTTAAAGGACAGAAAAAAAGACTTTCAGGATCTTGATTGTGATGTGTTTTTAAAATGGTTAGATACACTATGTGTCTCTAGTCCTTTCTTAATATTTCGTATGTGTTCTGAAATTCTCACATGTACACATCTTATAGTTCTTCCTATGTAGAGTAGATC